ATCATCCTCCGGTTATAAAAAAGTAAATTAATTTGTGTATTCTGAGAATTATTTTTATTTTCAACTGACATTAGTTAGAGAAATCTCGAAAAATAGGTTGTAATCAACAACTACTTTACCATGGTATGAAGTTCTCAACGACCATGATCCTATCAGGAATTGAATATAAAGCTTTCTTTGCTTGTCGACAGGTGTTTGATTTGATAATTCTACTTTTATAAAGATCTTCAAGTAACCTTTTACTCATTTACTTATATTTCTTAGTATTACAATTGTTTGATCAATAAGGTTTTCCTGGAAACGTATGCGACAGTTTCTTTAGTATTTATTTACTTTAAAATAACAATTTTGTTTTAGATTTGCAAAAAAAACAGGATCCTTTCATGTTAAAAAAAATCTTCGCAAACTTAGATTACACAGATAAACATCGTATGTTTTTTTTGCAAGTCACGTTTTTATTTGCCCGCTCATTTATCAGTACAGGTCTACTAATGTGAATAAATTGAATATTAGCTTGTTAAAAAAAGCTCACCAAATCATTCATTACAAAAGGACAGCCTTTATTTAATTATGATATTATTAAGCATTTAACCGACTATCTCAATTTTATATTTAACAATTTGACATTAAATAAGACGCCTAGATGAGAAAATATAATTTCATTTGTTATTTAATTATGTATGCTACTTATGTTGACAGATATAAGTAGTATGTGACATCAGTCGAATTTGGACTGCATGATAGCAGAGAGCTGAGAAGATTGAATTGAAGAGAACAAGAATGCAAACAGATAGTAATTGTAATATCATTAAAAGAACGATGAAGCTTATAAGATACAGCTGATGAGAGATTCGCAAATGAAGTATTTCATGTGGGGTTTTCACATTTTACCAAAGAATTCTGATTATCCCATCCAAAATTAACAGTTTAAGATATAAATTAAGTTTTTCATTGCGTAATTAGTATAAATATAATCCAACAAGTGACTCTTAAGCAATTGATAATTTAAAACATGTGTTGAAATCGTGTAACATTTAGATTACGACATGTTCCTTTTTCAATAATTAATTTATTGACAATTGGTTGTCCTATCATTGCTTCAAATCGTTTACATTCATGGTAATGTTGCATAACTAGTACACAGTGCATATTATTCTTTAATATAATGGTTTCGAGATTCCATTCATAGAATAAATGATGTAGCTTCGTTCTGTTGCTTTATACTGTTAACATTTTAATCAAAAAACATTATCATTATATGTAGTTTGATCGTAGTATCGACTAGGGTAAGAACCATTGCAACATGACATATCACACAATCTCAAACGCTCTAAATATCAAAAGGTTTCCGTGTACATCAACTAATAAATATTTTATAGTTAATTGATATATATTATCTTTAAAACATCTGAAGTACTATCGGGGTGAATCCTACTTGTACGATTGCTTGTAAGTAGTAATAAAGTGGTCCGTGACCTCGAAGCTTTCACAATCATCAGATAGAAAGATTGGTTTCAGTATATCAAAAGCACAGTATAGGAAGAACATTTAAAGATTGGACTAAAAGTCAGTTTAAATTGCAGAACACACAACAAGATGCAAACCAATAATCAAAGGATATGTACACTCATTATGTAAGCACTGTAATCTCACAATAAACACATGTTCCATATACTAAATGTACTCTTAGAAGTAGACATATTACACTGAAATTTTTATGAAAAGATAATGAACGAAATTAAATAGTATTTTAATTAAACAACAGAATAAGTATTTTCGAAACCTTGGTACTCGAAAATTATTTTTAGTAGTTTAAATTTGATTGTTTTTAGCTGGCTTACAAGGAGTCATTAAGGGAGTTTGACCCAGGTATTTATAAATACTTAATTCTGTTTAACAAGAATAAATACTTTGAATAGTAAGATTATATCATTTATCATCTGACTATAATTTTTTTATGTATCATCTCTTACGCCGCGAATTATACGCTAACTTAACCAAGTCATTAATCATGCATTAATATCAAATAATCCATTAGACATAAGATACTAATGAGTAACATGCTAAAATATCGTTATTTAAACTAACCAAGTTAACTATTACTGACGGCAGTACTAAGTTTTTTGAAGATAAAAGTAGTAGAATTAGAAGAAAGGGTTTTCTTTTTCTTGTGACTTTTTTTCGTCATAATATTAATGACCTATAAATGATTCCAATGTAACTTCGGTCCTATAACATTTTTCATCATGGATCTAATCCAGAACATGAAAACCTCCATTCATACATATGCTTTGTTTCACGAAATGGATAGATTAATGAACTTTAAAACAGTTGTTTGTTTTAATTCATTTTGTATTGATGTTGTATTGCACAAGTTGGTAGCTATCAGGACTCAGTAGTTAAGTGGATAACGCGATGGTGTTTGAGGCGAAAGGTACTGGGTTCGAACCCCGAGGCAAACATCAACTCGGGTGCAGGTATATCCAACTGATGAATCCTAAATAGGACGAAACGCGCTTCCTGCATTCTTCTCTTAGGCAACATTCATCCTTGGTCATAATCGTTTGTTTGTTTTAATTTTAATCTGTAATGTGTATATATTTTAGAACTGACTACTTCTTACGAGAAAAACACTCCAAAGTGGTTATAAAAAATGAGTTGTGAACTGAAAAACGAGTAGAATATAGGGTTAAACTCGTTATTTTATTCTATTAATAATTAATGACAAAATTATTTACTTGCCTATAATAGTATAATAACAAAATTAACATTTCTACATTTAATCAGGCAGAAAGTAATAACAGTGTTGTCTATATATAGTGTTGTTTACTTGTCTTGATTTACGCATGATCGCATTCTTCTACGCTGTTTGCTTATATATATATATATTTCACAAGTTTAGAAATTATATAAATTTATATGAAATATCTGTCGTGTTTTGTTAGAGACAATTGACATGAAGTCCTGTTTTATCAAGATTTTGTGCTGATTGGTGCCAGCCAGCAAAATGAATTCCCAGGATTAAGAGAATTTATACACTACTGAAGTTTCAGTCAACGTTAGATAACACCAAAATTAAAAACGTTATCTTTAAAATTTTCCGACGTTTGTAGAACTAAGATATTTGAACTGAATTATCATTGAGTAGTAACCGCTGTTGTAATTTCTGAGGTCTTACTGTTCATTGAATTCATTAGGAATTGTAATTCATAGATTTTCGGTGGTTGGCATCCATCCTTTTCACAACATCATCGACAGTAATATCCGTTACTCACAAATAATTAAAGGAAAAACACTATGAAAAAAAAATTAATTACCTTTTCGATTAACAAGATAATCAGTTTTTGGAATTCTGTTAATGCGTTACTAAATGTAAGGAAAATTATATGCAACCTGTATCCGTGTCGCAATGTATTAGAATTATATACACAGCAGCTCGATAAGTCGCAGACTGTTACAAAATTACTGTCAAATGATCATTGGTTAGTATTTGTTTTTCAGATGAAGTCTGAAAATTACTATCAGTGAAAGCATAGTCTTTTGAGTTATTGACAATATAATAATATAATCACTAATTGTTAAACTTCATGATTTCTCAGTTGAAGAACAATATAAATCCAGTCAGTATTAGTAAATTTTCTATCCATTGATACTGAATGAAAATGATAATGCCAGAAATCCTCAGATTTTTCTAACCTATATGAGATTTTAATATACGTAGTCAGATATTGTATTTACTAAAATGTTTTTCAAACTAAAACGATATTTCACAGGTTGAAATCATCAGTCAATTGAAGCTAGATCACCATGGAAAACCTGGAAGCACTGGACGGCCTTTTCGTTCTAGTATGGGACTAAGCAGTGCGCATCCACGATCCCGTACCCCGCGGGATTCAAACCCAGGACCTACTGGTTTTTTGCGCAAGCACGATATATCTAGTTCTTAGTCCTCCAGTTTTTAACGGTTTGTCAATTGACAAATTTACATTCAGATAATACGACCTACTGACAAAAAATAAGAATATCCTTGAATACATCAATAAGCATATGATCTTTACAGAACCAAAATTTATGATTCAATAAAACTCGATAGGTTATTTATTTGTTTGCTTTTTTTGCTTTACAGGTCATTATTACTAAATCAATTAAAAAATTGTTTACATAACAACAACGACCAAAAAAATCACAATCTAGAGAAAAAAACTATAAAAATATAGTAGTTGTCAATGATTATTTCTTTTTCCGGATAAAAAAAGAAAGTTTATTCCACCATTTTGAGATCCCATAATGCTTGTGCCATTAGAGACTCTTCGATAAACACAGTGTCGAAAGTCAATTATATTGGCGTCACCTTTTTCTCTGATCTCTCTTGGTCTTCTCACGTTTAATTGTTATCGAAGAAGGTTTTCCATCTAACTTATTACATAAAGAGATTGCATGCTCTTGGGATTACTCGTCATTTACTCTTACAATTTGTCGATTCTTGCATATTACCTATTATTCTCTACTCTTCTCCATTATTCTTTCCCGGGCTTTTGAGAAAACACTTTGCTGTATTGCGGAGAGTGCTGAAGGCAGTTAGCAAGGTGTGTGGTGAATCTTTCAAGGTCATAACTAATGTGGTTGCTGATAGATGTCTAAAGTCATGCAAACTCCTGGCAGGTGATATTTTATCAGATGCTAACCATCCCCTTCACTCTTATCTTTCTCCTTGTATATCTTCTGGTAGAACGAGACGTAATTACATTAAAATCCATGCACGCAAGCAAAAGTATAAGAGTTTTATAATACCTTACTTACTTTATTTTACTTACGCCCGTTACTCCTCGTGAAGGAGCATAGGCCACTCACCAGCATTCTCTTTCCAACCCTGTCCTTGTTGAAATACCCTGTGCTGAGAATTTCTATATTGTGCCAAAATATCATATTGAATAAAGCCATTAATTAATAACTATTATTTTTATTTTTACTCCGTTATAGATTTCTATCAGAACCCAACGATGTTCAGAATAAATAAATCGGTGACTTTCACATGTATTGCACTGCTCATTTGTCTTAGTAAGTTATCCATATATATATATATATATAATGCTAAAATGTAGATTTTTCTGTTCTATATTCTTTGTGTATTTCTATATTCTATATTTGTAACATATATTGAGTGGAAGGGGGAAACAATCAACAACAACAACAACAAAAAAGAAAACCAGCAAAAAGGAAAATAATCACTATACTCTCATATTTTTATTGTGATTATAATTTACTTTTAAGCTAAACGAATAAATTAGTTTAATTAATTTTTTTTTCTTTTTAAGAAATTAAATGTAAAATTTAGTTTAGTTGTATCATATCAATGTATATCTACCACAAATAAAGGAGTAGTACATTAAGGATTAATATTTATTAGGATTCATTAAAGAGAAAACTAAAATGTCCCTATATATGTATGTATGTACTCTTAGGTTATTATGTTGGTAGTTAGTAAACGGTTTAAACTTAAAGAACTACTTCGTAAATTATTTTTCTTATTAGAGATATTTCAATAAATTCTATTCACTATCTTACATAGGATTCAATCACAAATATTCACACTCCATATAGAGTATCACAGATACGAGTTATTAGGTTGGAACATCGATTTATTTTTGTTATTTCAGACAGTTTGCGGTATGCATATATATATGAAGGTAATACTGATACTTATTCTGCATGATCTAAGTAGGAAATGGTTGGTATTTTGACAAAACTGTAGTACCAATCAATAAACATTATATCAACCTTATTTACGTACTCCTGTTACCCCTTATGGAGTCTGTTTACTGAAATACGACAACGTTTAATAAAAAATAAATTTGCACAGTTTTGCAAGCGCTTAAGACCGCGTATTCGAGAGATGAGCAAATCGGTAAATAATTAAACTTGTTTGTTGTTCAACAGTCATTGGTAATAGGCATTAGGATTGGTCCGTAATTAGTCAGTGTGGAACATAGTACATTTACCGTACAGCTATGAAATATATACATAAGTTTATATATGAGGTTCCGTTGAAATTTATTTACTTAGTAAACTACTTAAATCCATTTAAGTAATGTCTTGAAACGTATTTGTTATTTTAATGGATAATCTTAGTAAAAAACTACCTATTCTGTATAGTATTTAATGAAAAGTTAATAAGCACCATGCGCAACTGAAATAGAGGAAACTTCAAGTTGGGTTTTTCCTTGAACTACTACAAAACGAATGCCACATGTTATATTGAATGAATGTGACTGCAGATTAACATAAATGTATAATATACGGAAGATTAAATTGAAAACGAAACGAAAGATGAATCCGAGATGATGAAGAAGATTTGTAACTCAAGTGCATGATTTTGGTGGAGTTTTGTTCTCTGAGTTGGGTGGTTTGGTCGTGGAGCTTTCATTGTTCTTTTGAACAACATCAACAGCAAAAAATTTAGGTAGACTTCTACCTACTCCACCAAAGATGAATCCACTTAAAATCTAATTTGAGTTATATCTCCTCCTCATTTCCAAAATGAACGTGTTTGCTTCAAATCGACCATTTATTTCCAATCTTTGATTTGAATTAATATCTGAGGCTTTACAATATGTTTATTGAATATAATTTTCACATAAAATAAACGTTTAGCAATAGTAACCAATATCATTTTGTCTAATACTAAGAATTTGCTAAATCCCATCTAGTTAATAGTATAAATAATTCAATATTACGGCGTACTTATTGGAAGTTAAATAACTTGAATAAGTCTGATGATATTCAGTCCCTGTTTGCCTTACAAGCAAGTATTATTAAACATGAAAGCATAGTGTTGTGAGCGCGATTACAAATAGACACAATCAAATGTATATGAGTACAAAATTACATAATCATTTGTAAAAAATATGAATAACATATGTTCAATACTTCATTTACATTATGTTCATCAATTATCTGAGACTTGATTGTTACTTCGTTTTCATACCAATCACTTTCTGTTTCCATTCTCTTCTATTTGAACTTCTGCTAGAGATTCCACTTTCGATTAGTGTTACGTACTACTTATCTCTGTCGACATAGGCTGCACACACCACAATAGACCTTAGAGTTCCATAATACTATTTGCTTCCAATTATCAACCATTCCTTTCTAAAATAATAATAATAATGTAACTTCAAACCTATTTTCAAGAATTTAAAACATATTCCTTTATTACCATTTTCAGAATATTTTTTCTCCCTACGGTTACTTCTGAATGTAATTTTTGCAAGAAAAAGAAAATAATAAACAAATTTTTTGTTAAAAAAATTATTACAAAAGTTCCTGATTTTCTCTTGTTTCCCCCCCCCTCCGCCCTTTGTTCCTACATCACTAAAGAAGTAAATAAATGTACAACACACACAAAAAACAACACATTCAAGTTTATTTTGATAGAAATGATGTTGAAACCTTTTAAATTATTATTAGTTTCAATGATTGACAAATCATACAATGATTTTTGTCAATGTTATATGTCGGAAATTGAAAAACTGAAACATACATATATATATATATATATATATATATATATATCATGTTTACTAAACACTATTATTTGTAATTGCCATAACCGGTAACCACAGTTATTCTCGTAAGAGAATGGAAATGCCTAATCTACTACAACAACAATATTATTATTATTACTACTATTACTGTTATATTTCCGAATTTTATTATTTTTTTTAAAGACCAGTTAATTGTATTGTATGTTTTAATTTTACAAAAGGAACTTATAAAATAGACTCAATTTAAGAGATTACTATTTTGATTTTACATTGAAATCAAATGAAAATTATTTATCATTGTGAAGTAATTATAAAAAGACTAATGTAACAAGACAAATTTAGATTAATTATGAACAATTCATTGTCATTTAGATTTAGATTATTTTTTTTCACTGTTACATCGAACTAGTAGTAGGTAACAGCATTAAACTGAAAGAATTATTAAAACGATAAGATTTAATTAAATAAACTAACTAATATTATGAGTAAAGATGGATGACGGCTAGTAATGGGATTCAGTTTTACGCGCGATTTGTCTTACTTGGAAATTTGTCAGCTGACTTAAGGTAGTATTGAGGCAATACGCACGAGATGTATATATACCTTATAAAAGACTGATCAATTACAGTTGTAAACATCAGCAGAAAGATTTTTTCAGAAAGAAAACAATACAAAATGAGAAAAATGTTAAATCTGACTCACATTTGTGTATAACACTCAAGAAAGCATATTTCAAATTTGTACAATAAAACGAACTGAACATGATAAATAGTAAAATGTTTGATGTAATACTAACAACTTAATCACATTAGAGCTTTTTATACTGACAATATTTCTCAAACAAAGAGTAAATATAACGACTTAGAAGAAACAGAAAACAATTTCAATAAAGTAAGAATAACGGTGTTTGCAGAACAAAATGCATTTATTCTTTTTCACTGTTTCTCATCAACTGTATACAAGCGAAAATTATACTTATTAATCTAACTACTAACAAATCTTTCAATGGCTGAGATCATGAGTCATTTGAAACTGGATCATCATGGAAAACCTGGAAGCACTGAATGGTCGTTTCGTTTCATTGTGGGACTCCTCAGCAGTGAGCATCCACGATCCCACCTGGTCCTGGGCTCGAATCTCGATGGGCGGGATCGCGGATATGACTGTCGAGGAGTCACATACTAGGACAAAACGGCCATCCAGTGCTTCTAGATTTTTAATGGTTGTCTAGTTTAGAGTGACTAATGAATTCAACTGTTTACATTTTTGTTCTTTTTTATCATGTTGAGTGACTACGCAATCACATAATAACTTCACCACCACTTCATAACCTTTTTTATTTTGATTACTATTTTCTAAGCTTAATTCGACTTTAGCAGATAATTCTGCATGGACTGTATTTGCGGATGTATAACATATTACAACCTCAGTTAGTTAGTACATATCCTTGTACAATGAACCTAATTTGTTTAAGAAATAAATTATGTATCATCTAAACATTGACGTAATATTTTATATTCAATTTTACAAAGTTAATGTAGATCCCGATGATTTTATGAAATATTTTTCAATGGCCTATTTCTTCCGAATACAATCATATGGACATCACTTATAAGTGCAGATTAACATAAGTGTATAACTAAGACAAAGCATTTAGAAGCAAAATATCATCTCTAAAAGTCAATAGATAGACGACTTAATAATAAAGGAATATGTTGACTCGATGTCTGTTTCTATTCATTATATCAAGCTTAGTAAATGAATATTATAAACCAAATTAATATTTACAAAGTATTAAGTTTTGAGAATATGATTTATAAAACATGAATTACATATCTTTAGTTTCCAACAAAAGTCGACTTGTAACTGTTATTCAAATAATATCACATTTTCATAACCGATCTATTTCTTAATAGTAACAGGCTTACCTTGTAGATGACTTTGAGCGCAGAATCTGTCTTGATTGAGTGACCTGTGTTCACAAGGTGTTTGATTATTGAAGTCTTCCAAAGACAATTAGGTTGCATCTTTTTAGAATTACCGAAGCGATAGCCGTACATCTAGAAAAACCAGAATTGTGTATCCGAAAGAGATTGGCCTAACCTCTTCTTCTACCACGATCTTAATGTCTTATTATTATTTTTCTTCATACTCTGCTTCCCCTTTCATCTCCTCCATACATTTTCTATCCCCAACTAATTTATTTAGAATTCTACGATCCTGTTAATTACATTTAATCACAGTTTCAACATTTTATCTGATCATGCTGAGCCACCATCTCCCAATGACAATTTCTCTTTCTATCTGTCTAGTGCTTAAATGCTCGCGCGCGAAGCCAGTAGGTCCTGGTTTCGAGCCCCGCGTGGTGCGGGATCGTGGATTAGCACTGCTGAGGAGTCCCGTACTAGGACGAAACGGCCGTCCAATGCTCTCAGGTTTTCCATGGTGATCTAGCTTCAATCGACTCATGATTTCAACCTGTGAAATATTTAAACCATTAACAATCAAATGACTATTAGTTTCCCAGTTTAAAAAAATTTAATACCTTTGTTTATTCTACCTCACTGTCATCATGTCTAACAGAAGTTTATTATCATTATTATTGTAATTATTATCATCTTGAAAATATCAGTAAATGTATTTGCGATTGTACAGCTTTGAAAATGGATTCGCCGAAAAGAGAACACTTCGCTGAATCAATCCTTCTTATTTAATGTCTTAAACGGGGGGTTGTTTACTGAAATAACTATTGACAAGAGCAAATCGTTACGACTTGTTAATGATCATGATATTCGATCTATAATTTAATAAATAAACTTTTTCTGGATTTTATTTTGTATAACATGTAAATACATAATGTGCTCTTTAAATTTAATGGTTTCCATACACAATAAATCAATAACGATTTATTTTTCTATGATTATTTTCTAGTTTTACTAGTAAACAGTACACTGAGTATGCGCACAAACAATGAAATAATGGAATTACCTGACAGTTATTCACCAGAATATGAACATTTATGGTCAAGTCGACCAAGATTCTTATATCCCAGTGCATATTTACGACCATACAGAGCACCGTTTTATCAAGATACTATTGAGAAAAAAAATCGTAAAATTGATCAATCATTTTATTCTTATTATGGTTAAAGTAAGTTTATAAAAAAAATTATACTGGTAAATGATTAACTTGATGTTTCACAGATTAAAGGTTTAATTTATTGAGATCATAGAAAATACTTATAGCTTAGGACGATGATTTTGGAGGTGTTGTATTCTCTAAGCTGGATGGTTTCATTGTAAAGCTTTTAATGTCCCTATATAAATCATCATCAGCACATACTTTAAAGCCTCACAGATAAACCGTCTTGCTACGAAAACACAAAACCCTTGAGATTTAATTTGTTTAATGTGAGAATCCAGATTGTGTTTACCGTACAAATTTATCTTTCTGATAATATTATTTTTTCAATTTGAAATGACATGTACGACAGGAAACTCTTAAAGTGATCAGTCACTTGTATAAACTTCTAAACTGTAACGAGAAAATCGATTTGATCTGAGAAGGTGGTATATTTGTGCCATAAATATTTCGACTAACAAAGTATTTGCATGGCAAATAAAAGAAATGATTTCTCCTTTAATAATATTATAGGTGAAAGCCATTATACTTTTTACAGATATGATTAAACTCATGTTTTGTCGATAGAGAAATCAGTTGATTGTTGCTAATGATTACACTGTCATCGTATTCATTTTCTGTCTAAATGACATATTCTCTGATCTTGTCACTTTTCTGATTATTTGATAGACTGAATCTATTTCAGTATATTTATTGATTTATAAATGATTATAATTTAGGGCTTCTATAGATCATAACTTGTTTCAGAAGCCCCATGCTCAGATCAATCAATTCTTGATTTAGACTAAGTGATTTATCGTCAACTACTTAGAAACTGAATGATTATTATGTCGATCAAATTTGCTAATGGTTTATTTTGATAGAACAATGAGAAGATGGAGTTGATCTGAAAAATGTGATGTATTTGTGCTATACATTTCGAACAATCTAGTCACACATATACGTGTCAGGGCATTTTATATGATTCTTCGAAATGTACATCACATTTTTCAGATCAACTTCGTCTTCTCATTGTTCTATCGAAATTTATAAAAGGGACTAATTGCTTTAATGGTTTATTATCGTAATAAGATATTTAGACCAAAGAACATTGAATACACTTATGGTATTCTTAAATTTCTTGAGTTTTCATTATCATTTTAGATAATATCATCACTACTTAATTCATGTAGGCTTTTGACAACAATAAAATTACTGATTTCAACTGCACATTTAGAACAGACATTTCTTCAATGTTTCTGAATTTATTGTTGCTTAATTCAATTCCATTATTTCCTGCTTTATTTCTTCTTCTTCTTCTTCTTCTTCTTTACTCTAGGATTTTATGTTTGTTCAAATGTGTACGATGGGTTATAATCATCAAATTACTTGAAACATTGAAAAAAATGATGGATTGTCGACATTTCAAAGTTGTTTACATTTTCCATGGAAATATAAAATTTCATCAATAATCACAATAAAAAAAAGTTTTGTTGTCTTAAAAAATAAAAAAAAACGGTTCTCTTTTTTTTCCACTAAAATTCTTTACAATAAGTTCTGCTTGTTATAATGTTTTGCAATAGAAACATGACTATTGTAAAAGGTTTCTTTGTTTATGTAAATAGATCAAAATTAATTCAATCATTACCACTTGAATGAGAAGAAACGTACTCAAGAACAAATATATGTGTCTGAAAAGGAATAGAAAGTATATCCTAAAAGAATTCTAATGAATATTGTATTATCCTGTTTGGAAAATACAAAATTATAGAACGAATAATAAGAAAATACAATCTTTAGTGTATAACTGACATTTGTTAAAAATTTATTATTTTTTTCAAGGATCTATTACCAGATAGGGTTCATTTAGTTATGCAAAATAGATTTGTATGCTAAGCTCTAAGTAACATTTCATTACAATTAAAAGTTGAGTATTTTTACCATGGAAACACTACTCCATTTAATGAATACAGCTCAAAATCATTTAATAAGCTTAGGGAGCAAGGGAACATTAGTAAAACTGCTCAATTGAATAAGCTGAAGTAATTGTAGCTGAAATTTAATTATTAAGATTAAAAGGTCAAACAGTTCTTACGATTTTTAAGAGTAATTTAAGTTTGTGAATCCTGTTGATTTGCATACGACTTTTATTTTGCGAAAAATAATGCAAGAACTTGTGTTAATGTTGTAAACCAATGAGTCCATAATGTACAAAATGTTGGTTAAATCATTTGAATCTTAAATAAAGAAAAAGTGAATATCTTAACAGAGTCACATGAACTCATTCCCCTCAACTTCTGGAAATCCAAGAAAAGATAGTTGTTCTCGGAAAAGGGTTTTGTGGAGATTATAGTAATTTAGTGGTTGAATTCATGAGTCGATTAAAGTTATAATAATACGGAAGAATTAACATTGTTAAAACGTTCGCTTATTTAGAGATTAAATATATGAATATTCTAGAAAAGTATGGACACAAGATTTTTGAAACAGAAGACAGTTTATGTAAGATAGTCTAGAGGTTGAGCGTTAAGCAGTTAAGCGTTCGTACACGAGACTGAAAGTTCTGAGTTCGAGTCCCGCTTATGGAATCGTGGATGCATACTGATAAGGAGACTTGCACTAAGATGAAACGGCCGTCTAATACTTCCAAATTTTCAATGTTGGTTTAACATTGATCGGTTTGTGATTTCGATCACAACCGAACGATTCCTGGAACCCTATACTGATAATACAGACCATTTGAATAATGCCCAGAAGCAAGAAATATTACTTACTTACTTACTTACGCCTGTTACTCCCAATGGAGCATAGGCCGCTGACCAGCATTCTCCAACCCACTCTGTCCTGGGCCTTCTTTTCTAGTTCCATCCAGTTCTTAATCGTTTTTCTCATGTCTATCTCCATTTCTCGGCGTAATGTGTTCTTTGGTCTTCCTCTTTTCCTTTGGCCTTGAGGATTCCATGTGAGGGCTTGTCTTGTAACGCAGTTGGGTGCTTTCCTCAATGTGTGTCCTAGCTACTTCCAGCGCTTCTTCCTAATTTCTTCCTCCGTTGGGATCTGGTTTGTTCTCTCCCACAGTAGGTTGTTGCTAATAGTGTCCGGCCAACGGATCCGAAGTATTTTGCGTAGACAATTGTTAATAAACACCTTTATTTTCTGGATGATGACTTTCGTAGTTCTCCAGGTTTCCACCCCATACAGTAGAACTGTCTTGGCATTTGTATTGAATATTTTGACCTTGGTGTTGGTTGAGTTGTGTTGTTTTGAGTTGCAGATGGTCTTCAGTTGTAAATATGCTGTTCTTACTTTGCCGATCCGCACCTCCACATCTGCATCAGATCCACCCTGTTCATCAATGATGCTGCCCAAAGACGTAAAGGTTTTTACATCTTCCAAATCTTCTCCGTCAATTGTGATTGGATTGGTGCATGCTGTGTTGTATCGGAGAATCCTGCTTTTCCCTTTGTGTATATTGAGACCTATTGCTGCTGAGGCTGCTGCCACACTGTTCGTCTTCTCCTGCATCTGTTGTTGCGTTTGGGATAGAAGGGCCAGATCGTCTGCGAAGTCTAGATCATCCAACTACATCTTAGATGTCCATTGTATCTCGCGCTTTCCTTCAGACGTTGACGTCTTCATGATCCAGTCGATCACCAGGAGAAAGAGAAAGGGTGAGAGTAAGCAACCTTGCCCAACACCGGTCTTCACTTCGAACGACTTTGTCAACTGTCCTCCATGCACAATTTTGCAGTGTAATCCATCATATGAGTTCTGTATGATATTGACTATCTTCTAAGGCACGCCGTAGTGTCGAAGAAGTTTCCATAGTGTTGTTCTGTCCACGCTATCAAATGCCTTTTCGTAGTCAATGAAGTTGATGTAGAGTGATGAATTCCATTCAATTGATTGTTCCACAATGATCCGTAGAGTTGCGATTTGGTCTGTACACGATCTATCCTTACGGAATCCTGCCTGTTGGTCACGAAGTTGGGCGTCTACTCAGTCCTTCATCCTGTTTAACAATACCCTGTTGAAGACTTTTCCCGGTATTGAGAGAAGAGTGATGCCCCTGTAGTTATCACACTTGCTGAGATCGCCTTTCTTCGGTATTTTGATCAGAAGTCCTTCTTTCCAGTCTGTTGGTACTTGTTCCTCAACCCAAATCTTGTTGAAGAGAATGTGGAGTGTCCTTGCAGTCGCCGCTACGTCTGCTTTTAGCGCCTCTGCTGGGATGTTGTCCGGTCCTGCTGCTTTGCAACTCTTGGTTTGTCTGATGGCCATGCTGATTTCTTCAATTGTTGGCGGGCCAACATTGATTGGGAGGTCCGTGTGTGCTGCTTCGATGTTGGGTGGGTTCAGTGGAGCTGGTCGATTCAAGGGTTCTTTGAAGTGTTCTACCCACCTGTTTCGTTGTTCGTCAATGTTGGTAATCACTTTGCCTTTCTTGCTTTTCACTGGTCGTTCTGGTTTGCGGCGATTTCCAGCGAGTTTTTTTGTTGTCATACAATTATCTCATGTTTCCTTCTCTTGCAGCCTTTTCCGCCGTCATTGCTAAATCCTCCACATATTTACGTTTGTCGGTTCTGATGCTCCTCTTCACTTGTTTGTTTACTTCTGTGTATTCAGCTTGTGCCTTGGCTTTTTCTGCTCTTGTTCGACTGGTATTGATTGCTGCTTTCTTGTTCCTCTTTTCTTGAATCTTATCCAGTGTATCAACAGTGATCCATTCCTTGTGATGGTGCTTCTTATGGTCCAGGATCTCATGACATTTTGAAGTGATTGCTCCTTTGACCCCCTTCCAGTTGCTCTCCACAACAGTTCCTTCTCCATTGAGATCAAGAAAGGCCTGGAACTTGTTGCTGAGGCCTATCTTGAATTTGTTGAGTTTGTTAGTATCCTGAAGAAAGGCCGTATTGAAATTTTGTGATATTGTTTGACCCGTTGTCCAGTGCTTCTTGAGTTTCAATTTCATCTTGGCGACCAGCAAGTGATAATCTGATGATATATCAGCTCCTCTCTTGGTTCTCACTTCCTCTATAGTCCTCCTGAACGCTTTGTTGATGCAAATATGGTCGATTTGGTTTTGTGTATAGTGATCCGGTGAAGTTCATGTGGTTTTGTGTATGCGTTTATGTGGGAATATGGTGCCGCCCATGACCAGCTTATTGAAGGCACATAGATTTGCAAATCTCTCACCATTTTCGTTTCTTTCTCCCAGTCCGTGTCGTCCCATGATGTCTTCATATCCAGTGTTGTCCGTTCCAACCTTGGCGTTGAAATCTCCTATCAGAATGGTCAGGTCCTTTGTTGGGCACTTCTCGACTATTGACTGCAGCCTATTGTAGAATTGATCTTTAGCGTCTTCATTGTAAAGCAAGAAATATGTTAGTCGAAATTTTAATCAAAGTTTATGGGAAAATATCTTGCCTAATGATTTCATAAAAATGAAGTCACTAAGGTAAAACAAGATTTAGAACTGTTTCTTGTTGGATCCATGAATCAGATTAAAAATTGTATTACAACCGCTTCTTCAAAGCGTAGTAATTTCGAGTTCCCTTTGGTTATTGATTATTTGAAATACGTCCAACCTCAACATCATGACCACTGTCAAGCAAATGATAAGCAATTGCACTGTTGAAAATCTTCTGTTCGTCAAGCCTCAACATTCGTGAAATAGTTTCGGAGATGTGAACACAAACCTAACTTTCTGTTCTTTCGACGTATGTACTATGGCATGTACATGTAAACTTGTAAACAAATTGAGAAGAATTCACAAAATGAATGAATTCATGTTATTCTGTTAAGATATTCATTTTTTTATCCAATATTCAAGTGGTTTAACCAACATGCGTTACATCATGAAGTCGCAATTTTATAAATACCAATTCCTGCACTGTTTTTCACAAAACTAAACTCTAATTCGTATGCCTCAACAAACATAAAGGGAAAAACAAGATTCTTCGGTACAACACAACACAACACGCACTAATTAAATCACACTTGACGGAAAAGATTTGGAAGATGTAAACATTTTTACATATCTGCGCAACATCATTGACGAACACGGTGGATATGATGCAGATGTGAAGACACGGACCGGCAAAGTAAGAACAGCATATCTAAAACTGAAGAACATTCGGAACTCAAAACAACTCTCAACCAACATCAAGGTCAGAATGTTCAATACAAATGTCAACACAGTTCTACTGTATGAGATGGAAACTTGGAGAACTATGAAAACCATCATCATCCAGAAGATACAAGTGTTTATTAGCAGTTGTCTAAGTAAAATACTTCGGATCCGTTGGCCAGACACTAATAGCAACAACCTACTGTGGGAAAAAACAAATCAGATCCCAGTGGAGGAAAGAATCAGTAAGAAGCACTGAAAGT